TTCCTTCTTTCCTTCCCTCTATCCCTCCCTCTACCCCGCCATCCATTCCTTCCTTCCTTCCTTCCTTCCTTCCTTCCTTCCTTCCTTCCTTCCTTCCTATTTCCTCCCTCCCTTCCTTCCTTCCTTTCTTTCTATCTCCTTTCTTAACTCCCTCTCCCCTCTCCTTCCTTCTTTCCTTCCCTCTATCCCTTCCTCTGACCCGCCATTCCTTCCTTCCTTCCTATTTCCTCCCTCCCTCCCTTTTTCTACCCTTCCTTTCTCCCTCTCCTCCCTTCCTCCCTCCCTCTTTTCCTCCCCCTCCCTCTCCTGCTTCTGCTCCTGCCGTCTCCCCTGAGCCTTCCTCCTCCTCCTCCTCCTCCCCTGTTGGGGGGTCTACCCAGATGGCTCAGCAGAAAAAGGCCAAATAAATAAGCCTTAAATGATGGCTGAGTGGGGGGGGGGGAGCTGGAGCCCTTTCAGGTGTAGGAAGCGAGCGAGCCAGAGCGGCTATTAATTTGAAAGGTCTCGGAAGGGGAGGTGGCCTCCGTCCCTGGGGGGGCTTTTGGAGGCACCACCGTGACCCCCAATCTACTTCGCCTCCGGTGGCGGCGGGGGGGGGAACCAGCAGGAAGGCTGATTAGCCGAGAGCCCCCCCTTCCTCTGGCTCCCCCAGCCTGTTTGCCAATGGGGCCGGGGGGGTCTCCCAAGGTTTTGTCTTTCCTCTTAGGAGTAAATCAGGAGTAACTTTTTGAGGGTGGGCAAGGAAGAGACCGAGGCCCCCTGGGTGGGCAGGCGTGGGCCCTTTTTAGAGGACCCCAGGGGAGGGGAGGGGGGAGACTCTGATGGGACTCAGGCGTTGCGGGGGAAGGTCTCTTGAACCTCTGGAGGGCCCATCAGCTCCAGCTGGGTGGATAAAGTAGCAACGAAGGAGAATCTGTGTAGCTCAGAGTTGAAATGAGGGAGTCCTTTGGGGGTGGTGGTCTCTGAGCCCGGTGGTTTTCCTGGCAGACGTCTCGTGACCCAACTAGAGAACATTATCAGGGTTAGAAGGGAGGAGGGGTTTGCAGAGGGGGGGGGAGGAACAACTGTGGGGTCCTTGGTGATCTCAGAGCGTAGCTGTTTTCTTCCAGACGTTTCGTGACCCAACTAGGGAACATCATCAGTGCTAGAAGGGAGTGGGGTTCCCGGAGAGGAGGAGGAGGAGGAGGAGGTCTGTGGGGTCCTTGGTGCTCTCGGAGCATAGCCGTTTTCTTCCAGACGTCTCACGACCCAACTAGGGAACACCATCAGTGCCAATCCCGAAATGTTGGGGAGATCCAGCTGCCGACTGAATGCAATTGGACTCTGAGGCAGAACAGGAAGCCGTTTCCCCTGAACGTTACAATCCAGAGGCCTGTGGCTTTCAAATAACCCTACGTACGAAAGATCCCCCCCCCCCCGTTTCACAGCCATGGGCTCAAGTTGGGGAGGGGGAGCACACCGACCCCACCCACAGGGCCCAACCCTGAGCCGCATCGCCCTCGAAGGATCCACGGTGAAGGCACCCCCATCCTCCGAGGGTCCCATCGCCACCCCGGGCAACATTCCCCCCAGGGGTGGATCTCTGAGTGGCCCACTTTCCCCTAGACGCTGCCTTTCCGATCCGCGTTGGTAAATCCGAAGGCCTCCCCCCCCCTCCTTTGATTGGTGCCGCTTGGCATCGCGATGGTAGCCCCAGAGACGGGCACTCGCTTGGCATCGCGACCCTTAGAGGGATCGAAGCGGGGTGCCCCTTCTACAGAGAA